TGCCCTCGAAATCGATTGAGTGTTTCAATATACTTACACTAAATACAAGGTTGTTTTTACGTTTTTGATTGTCACATTAGCGTGTTTCTCTTCTAGTCTATATAGGATGTTTTAGTTTGTTCTATTTTATTTTCTGTTTTCAATCAAATAATCTTTTTTTAATACTTATAATTTCCATTTAATGATGTGTTAATGTTTTTTTGCATTTGTTTAATTTATTATTATTAGTTTACACACATTCATAAAAAATTCGTGTTTTTGTAGTTAAGGTATTATTTATCTAATAATTATGTAAACTATCTTACAGAGAGATCTAGCTGATGTTTCTGAAGATGAGTGGAAGAATATTCCAGAAGTTGGTGATGCTAGAAATAAACGTCAAAGAAACCCTCGACCTGAAAAGTAAGGAATGAATTCTACACTTCAAGTTATTATTATTATTTCTAGGGGAGTAGAGCAAGATGTTTGTCCTGCAGCTAGTGTTTAAGTGTAAAACTGCATCATGTTTTATACAGGGTGTTTATAAAGTTTCTATACACTTTTGAGAAATACTTTTTAATTCCAATTTTTTTGAAGGCGATCTGAAAGAATGCTATCAACAGAGGAAAGAATAGTCATTGTTTGACCCTGTACTCAGGGATTAATGTAGCAACAGATATAGGAGGATGTTGCCTACAAATTTAGAAAACAAGCCCCTACCAGAGCAGCAAAACCTTTGTAAACAAAAAGCGAAATGTTAGTGTTAAAGATGAAGACCATTCTGAGAGATAATGCTACAAGTTGAGAAAAGTGCACAAGAAGCGGTTACACGTAGCCACCAGGCATCTACATGAAGACTCGTTCAGGGACTCAGTATTTCACATATTACTATTTGGAAAACTCTACGCGGTCATTTAACCCTCCGATGGGCGGTGGGATGCGAGACGTCCCACCTTTTTTGTCTCCCAGGTGAAAGCTGCTAAATTCCATTTAAAATACATACAATTACGCCTTTTAGTTCTCTAAATGTATAACAGATGGCAGCATTAGTATTCATTCATGGAAATAATGAAAAATAAAAATTCTTTGCGGGTCTAATTTTGAAGCCCTTTTTTTCTTAATTTCTAATGCAATTTAAATCATCTGAACAACAACTTTGGGTGTTAGAATGAATATTTTTGTGAAAGTTTCCTTTTCTAAGAAAAACTGTTATTTGAATTCATATATATTATTCAGATATATAGAATGGTTGAAATTAAAAAGTGGGGCAATTTGCTGCTACTAGATGGCAGCATCGTTCAAATATTTTTTTAATTCAAGTGTCATTTTATTTATGTTGATAATGCAAGTTTATATTTTTCATAAATTGCAGTAATGTTAAAACTTGAAAAATATTTAGTATTTTTCCTTAAAGAAATGAAAAAAGAACTCTGTAACATGAAATGTCATTGAATACTGAATGGATATGTGAGTGTGATTCACCATAGAAAAATATCCTAAGCAGAGGAAAGAGAGGTGAAGTGTAAATAAACATGACAGTCTTCTAAAATATCTTCCTTTTCAAACTTGTAACAAATAAAGTACTGGGGCAAAAATCTTCTTTGTTTCAAATCTATTATGAAAGCATTAAAAGATATCTAAAAAGTTGTAGAAAGAGCGATTTTTTTTTAAATTATGTAATTTTTTTAAAAAGATATTTTTTATTTTGCGAATATGATCAATATTTTCTAGATAATTATTCAAAAATGTTTTTTATATCTTTCATTTTCATTTGGTTGCTAAAACTAGCACTTTAGATAAGCATGCTAGGAGAATTTACGCTCAGGCAAAGATGCCATTTTACTGCTCTAGATGCACGGTGGGACAAGTGGTATCCCACCATGACATGAAGCATCTTAAAGGCTTACCTTTTTTTTTTTCCCCTTTCCTTTGCATGAAATAACTTTGTATAAGGGGCTAATTATCTATGTGTAAAGGTATTTTTTTTATGCACCGGACCTCAAAGGGTTAAACAAGGATGCCTACCACATTTAAACTGTACATGAGCTTAAAACTGAGGACTATGCAGCTCAGCAAGCAGGGCTGTGGAGTCGGAATCTGAGTTGGGCAGATTTGGTAGTAAAAGGAGTCGGAGCTGGAGTCACTAAAAACAGTTCGACTCCAACTCCAGTTTTTGTTGGACAGTTTGAATTTAAATGAATTGAAAAAAATTAATGACAAGCTGACTTATTATTTTTATTTATGAACTATATACATTAATAAATAGTTATTTTCTATTTTATAGACATATTAATAAATAAATATAAGGTAGGAGGATGGATGCGATACTTGTGATTAGTGATTAAACTGATTCATTTAGTTATAAGTTTCACTGGTAAATTTAAATAAGCAGCAATAGCAGCAAGAACTCCCAAAATTGATACCGTTCTTAGGCAGCAAGCAGGAAAAAAAAAACAATTATTGATCAAGCAATGCGATAAGGAAGTACATATTTGATGATAAGTGGTTAGAATTAAGAACTTTTTTTAGAAGATGTAGATAACCCTAATGTTTCACTAGCAGAAAGACAGTGGAATGATCTTGCAGAATTGGAAACTCTACATCGTATATAGCCACAAAAAAGCTGCAATCTGAAGAATTGACAGGAGGTGAGAATGGGAGAATGTGATGTTTGTTCTTTCTGAAATGGAGGGTTTATTGCGGAAGGAATCATTTCTTCAATGAAGAAAAGAGAAACTAGTTTGCTAGACAATGAGATCTTGTTGTGTTCAATATATATAGATCTGAAACACTGAATTTTCTGGAATGACAAACAAATTAAAAAGGCAAAGAAACCCATCCATGAACTTTCATTAAGAAGGAAATTATTCTTATAACAGTTAGAGAATTTGAATCAGGACAGTCAAACTGCAGACATTGCATATGAGTCTCTGGCATTCTTCCAGTGATGAATTAGATTTTGAGAAATATTTTTGGATAATATTGAAAAGGCTAAGGCAAAGCGAATGAAAATAAAGAACCAAGAGCCTTTAGATATAAAAATGAAAAAATTGGGGAGGATGCTATGAATGAATATAATGCCAGGGTTTCAAAAGTTTAGGTCGAGAGATTTGAGCTCTTGTAATGAACCTTACAGAGAGCTACCACAAGAGTTAATTGAAGAGGCCTTGAAGGCAGTCATAGAGAACAGCAGTTAAATGTGTGATAGATTTGTTGAATGTTTCCAAGGAAACAGTCAAATTTCACTTGCACACCTTTCACACACAAAAAAAGGGGACAGTTCTATATCTCCCATTGTCGAAATTTAACTTGTGTTTTCTATGTCTCGAAAGTGTGGCTTAAGGTATATATTAGATTTATGTATAGCATTGTTCTAACATTATTGCTTCAAAAGAATAAAGTAAAGTTAAATTTAATTTTAAATAATTATGTTGTGCCATTGCTGCAAAAAATGAAATTTTAATTTAACAAACATTCTCTGTTCATAAAAAGGAAATTAAAGTTAATGAATTTAAATGAAATTTAATGCAAACAAATAAAGGATTAATTATTGTTGCAAACTAATCTACAATATCATTTAAATTGAGAGCATATGTAAATCAAGTATCAAAATTGATTTATAAATGTAAAATTCCAAAAATTATTTAATCCTAAAAAATTTATTTATAAAAATGCATACGTGAATGACTGTTGAGCAGGCAGGAGACAGACTTATCAAGGGGAAGTTGCCTCCAAACCTAACTCTTCAATCATTCAATTCGTGTTCCATCATCCATGTAGGAAAGGGTAAAAGTCAAAACCAAAAGTAATACCAAATATGGTGAATTACTAAAAAGAAATTTAAACAAGTGGAATTTTGAGAAATTAGCAATTAAAAGACCAAAATTAAAATTAAAAAATAATAAATAAGAGTAGAAAACCAAATTTTCAGAAAACCAAAGTAATTTAGAAACTCTTGCGTACAGAAACTTCGACACGAAATTAATCATTTATTCGTTTGTATTAAATTTCATTTAAATTTATTAACTTTAATTTGCTTTTTACGAATAGAGAATGTTTTTTAAATTCAAATTATTGTTCTAACATAGGAGTTTTGACACAGAATCGAACTTTTTCTGAAATAACATACCAATTTTTTTTCCATATTTCAATTCTACAATTCAAATTATGCCTAGACATTAAATTTTGTGATTTTTGGTGAGAAATTTAGGGAAAAATTGTTTTCAGTTTGCGCCAAAAATAATAGTTCACTTGGCAAACTTCGTAATTTATAGCAACCTATTTTTCATACCTTTTTCATTGTACACGAGCAGAAAAAAGGTCATTGTTCATACTTTTGTTCATACAAATAATTTTAACAAAGTGTGTAAACCACATTTGGCATTATTATATCTTACAACAAATATACGAAATTTCAAAACATGCCAATATGTAAATTCACGTATATATTAGGAAATTTGGAATAAAAAACTAATTTTTTGCAGGTATGCTATAAGATGGTAAAAATTTTATAGGTTTTAAGTAATTCAAAATGTTTTTTGAAAAATTTATAAAAGTATTTAAAAACACAGATTTTAAAAATAAATCTTAAAAAATAGGCGATAGAATGAACTTAAATATCGAAATGTGAAAGGAAGAATGAAATAAGTTAGAAAGAGAAATTAATAAATATGAACCAAGTTCAATTAACATCGAGGAGCTAAAATTTTGAGAACTAATTTTTAAAAACTGCTCGTGCTATTTTTACAAAACTTGGACCTTTGGCACAAGTTGAGTCGTAGAGTCAAAATATGGAAAAAAATAGGTATGTTTCAGAAAAAGTCCGATTTTGTGTCAAAATACATATGCTAGAACAATACTGCATGTAAATCTAATATATAAATCTACGTCGCACTTTTGAAATGTGGAAAATGCATGTTGAATTTTGACACTCGGTACAGCAGAACGGGAGATGTAGAACTGTGTCATTTTTTTGTGCAAGGTGTACCTCATAGGAAAGGTGTACAAGTTGAGTAAGTGTGTATCTTATACATGGTTGGCAACTAACAAGTATAATGAGAGATGGTCTGGTATTGTTGTCGTCTTGCCATCTCAACACACCCATATTTGGTTGAGTACTCATGAGTGATGAAAAGTGAGTTCAATGTAACACTTCTAAAACACTTCTAGACATTGGTTCTAATGATGTGACCCTGTGTCTCACTCCTCAAAAGCACCTCTCTGTGCATATAAAATCATGCTGTATCAGGCTACATCATCACTGAGAACCTGTACTCGCAACAGTGGCAGTGGATACAACATGCATTGCAGCAAAAGGAGCCAGTGTTGATTAATATAAGAGTGTGCTGTCCTCTGTGATATTGTGAGACTATAAGTGAAATGTATAATTGAAGGTACCATTCAGCAATTAGGCTGGAAGAAACTGTGTCACCCACTTTATTCACTGGATCTATTGTTCATAGATTGTCACCTGTTCCATTCCATAGATGATCACCTCCATGGGAAATCCTTCAACAGTAAAGTATATGTATAGCAAGCTTTCACCAACTTCTTTGCATTTAAGACCCCAATATCAACAGAGCATTGCTCAGCTACAAGAAACACTGGCAAAGGATGCCGGATACTAATGGAGATTACTTCATGCTAAGTACCCTGCTCTGTATATCTGCCTGGTTTTATGATCTTGACTGAGAAGAACAGTTTGGGGTAAAAACCATATGGCACAGCACAAGTTTTGTTCAGTTTTATGTGCAAATCAATGATTCGCATTATTATGTATTATCTTACTTTTTCCAGTGTTAAGTTAAATTTCCTAGAAATAAATCTGTTCTTTATTTAAAAATGAGATATTCTCAAGAAACAGAATCTGGTGTTTATGTAGCAAAATAATGTACTTATTTCATGTATTTCTTTTACTTCCTTGTACGAATTGAAGGAAGTATTCAAATCCATTTAGATGTTTTTTTGGCATTAGATCTGTAAATACAGATGGAATAAAGGACTATTTTTTCCAAAACGGATTATAAAATGGATTCAGAGGGGATATTTTTCTTGTTTGCCTGTCAGTACGTATTTATCTCACATAACTCAAAAACGGATTAGGGGCAGAACATTGAAATTTTGGATATGGGACTACTGTAACATGTAGATGTGCATAGAACATTGAAATTTTGGGTATGGGACTACTGTAACATGTAGATGTGCATCTCCCTTTTTGGTTACAATCAGCCGCACAAGAAGTATGTGTGTGTGTATATATAAGATATATATATATATATATATATAATTTTGCTTTTTACTTTGTACAAGGAAGTAAAAATGCCGGCCATATGCCTTTACATTGGGGAAACAGAATCTATTCTGGGTTACCAGAAAACTAGTAGAAGCATTGGTATTTGGTGCTAAATCAGGAGGCACCCTTTTTTACACTAAAACCTCAATATTTGTTATCTTCATGTAGATAGTTCTGTAAAATATTTATTATATTTAATGACTGATATTGAAACAATGCAATGAATCAACATACTTTTTTATAATATTTTTATTATTTTCTTAGATATACACCAGTACCTGATTCAATTTTAGCAAAAGCAGGACTGCCAAGTGATAGTGTCTCATCACTTGATCCTTTGCAACAGGTAATTTTTTTATAATTTGTTTTCTGTTAAATTATGCTTCTCCAAAAATGTCTTTTGGATCATCAAGCAAAGGAAATATGACAGTTGTTTGATTGGTGAGGTAAATAATATGTACAGTCAAGCAAGTTAAGCTGAATTTTGAAGTGCAGAATTCAAAATTAATGCTAACCTTTTTTCCAAAAGGTAAATTTTAGTAATGGTCAGGCAGTATTAAACTAGAGCCAAAAAATTATTCCAGCATCAATCGGCCTTAAGATGCAGAGGGAATAGGTTTCATTAATTGTCTAGATATGATTAAAAATGCAGTCTGAGAGCATTAAAAATGCAGTCTGGCGCCTAATTCATGGCAGCAGTATAGAGTTACAGAATGTGTTGAATTCACTTTTGTTTCAGGATGCTTCATATAGATGTTGTGATAACCATTTTGTTGTCTGATATGAAAGAAATGGAACTTCTTAACCAAGAAGTGCATTGCTTATTTCTACCCTGATGTGTATAATTAAGATATGTAATTTTAACTTAAAACTATTGAATAATAGTTGAGTAATCTTAACTTAAAACTATTGAATAATATTTGATTATTTGTAATATTAAAATTTTAATTGATACTAAGTTTTGACAAATGTGTGAATTATAAGTATTGTGAACCAGTAGTTTATATTTCCAGTTATTTCAAAGTTGATTTCTTTTGTATGACCCTAAGTGCTTAAAATTATCAATGACATCTAAGGACAGATGGGCGAATTTGAATACTTTTGAAATTCAAACAAGTATAGAATTAGAATATTAAGCTTTAACAGTCATAGTCTGAACTTTAACTGAGACTTTATGACAGTGTTTAAATTTCGCAAAAGAAAAAAATGTCCTTTTTGGGTAGGGAGAGAAAAGAAGATTTAAAATTTCTTGACCTTGAAGTGGAGTTGGTCGAGGCAGAAAATCTAAAAGTGATACAATTAAAAGAACTCATAACAAAATCCGATAATTATGATGAAGAATTAGTGAAAAATATGTTGGCTAATATAATAGAAGAAAGACTTGAGAAACAAGCCGAATTAGAACATATTGCTCGAGAAGAAGCTGCTAGGGAAGAGAAATTAGCTAAAGAAAAAGCAGAAGAGTGAGCTTGAAACTTCAACTTAAAGTTCAGAAAACAACCCTCTTCACTACAGCAGGTCCTGTTGTTGAAGATGAAAAAACCAATTGAGATCTTGAGAGAATTTTACGTAAATATTTTACCTAATGGCCTTGTTCCTGAATCAAAAAGATTCAGGAACAAGGCCATGTCATTATCCTTAGGTAAAATTATCTCTCAAAAAGAGAGACAACTGAATTTTTTAAAGGTTCCAGAAGAAACTTAGGTTCTGTATTTAGTGGGATTGTTACCAACAGAAATTGGAAAATTGATTGCTCATGACCCAGAAGAGGAATCGAAATTACCAAAAAATGAAGGAAATGCTTCTAAAGAGATATAAGCTCACTGCTGATAAATTACGACAACTGTTTGTTCTACATCGAAAGAACCAGAAAGTACTTGGCATGATTTCTACTTTGAAATGACCAGTTATTTTGAAAATGGTCTTAAAGAATTAAATATTACAAAATTTGATAATTTGAAGTAGCTCATTGTAATTGACCAGATGAAAAAAAAAAGAGAGTTTCTCAAGAAATAAGAGATCACTTTTTGGACATTGGCCGAACTTAAACTGGCCTGCAGAATTAGCAGAAAAGTTGGACACTTATGATTGTTTACATAATAATCAAAGCAAAGTAGCAATCTCAACTTGAAAGAAAAATTCCAATTCTGAAGGTGGTATCCCAAAATCCACACGGGTGAAGAAGACATATACCAGTGTAGCAGAACAAAGGTTGCAATGTAATTCATTATAATATTTGAGTGATAAAATAAAGCAAAATAATTACACCTATGAAAGAAACTTGTTTTATCTTGAGAGTGCACTTATTTGCATATATTGAAAATGCCACTAGTCACATTTCATTAACTAAGTTAGTCTAAAATTAGCCTAATTAATTAAACTGTAAGTAACATATACAGTCAAAAGTTTTTAATCCGGACTCGTCGGGACTTCGGCGATTCCGGATTATCGATTTTTCAGGATTGTAGATCATCAGTTTAAATCTGGTAAGATGGCATGCAGAAATTATAAAATTAAAAATATGAAACCGTAATTTATAAAAAATGAGCAATTATGATCTAAAGGGTATCAAAATTTACAAAAAAAGAAGCTTAATATTTATTTGTTTACTTTATTAAACATTTCTTTCAACGTGCGCATGCATAAAGCATACCTTACGCATAGCCGAAATTAGAAAATTGCAACCTTGTATTCGTGATATTTATAATGACGAGGAATTTGATTTAAATCATATCGAAGACGGAGTACATCAAGATTAAATACTACATTTAGTAAGGAATTATAAGCCGAATAAAATAAAAACATCTGCCCTGAAGATAACGATAGTGCTGACAGATCAACTTACAGTTCATTGCGCGACACGACACCCCCCCCCACAGAGCAGCGTGAAATTGATAAACAGATTTCGAAATGATTAGAGAATCAAAGGATATGCCTTTATCTATTTTTTGCAGCAATTCCACTTTTTGGTTGATGGACATCGAAGCATACTTTCATTTTCTAGATCCTTTAGGAGCTCCAGCATCGGAAATTCTATTTGACATAATCAAAAGTTCAAGCTTACTTTTATAAAATTGCTCTTACGGTCTGCAAAAAATAATAAGCCGGATCCAATTCGAAGATTAAGGAACAATGCAATCATCAACATTAACTGAAATAGATAATTATATAATTTTAGCTTATACCGTCCGTTATACATTAAACGCGCACGCGAAAACGTATTCTGTGCTTACGCAGATGCATATGCGCAGTCGTAAATGTCTTGCGCGCACGCGTAAAACGGCTATGCACATGCATCAATGCAGCGCATGCACAGAAATATTTTAGCTTTGAGGTCCGGATTATGGGTGTCCGAATTAACGACTTTTGACTGTATCATAGACATGGCTTCTGACATATACTTCTCAGTTTATCTGGAGAGTTAAGGAAAAGGCTGAGGTAAAAGAAATTTCTTGGTAGTGATAGTTTCATCATTCGCTGTTTTAAAGAGCTTGATAATTCTTTTTTGCAAAAATTATGCATTGGCTCTTGAACATCAGTGGGCCAACCAAATATTGAACTTAAAGGTAATTATATGCAAAAAACAAATACGATTTAATGACAATAATTATTTGTGCCTTCCTTTTTTTATGTTTTTTTATTGTAAAAGATAGCTACAAATTCTTTATCTTGATGTACCTTTTTTATTGGTCTATGATTGAAGGATATTTATGTGCTAAAAAATGTATACATAAACAAATTGTATTTGTAAGAATTAAAATATTCTACCAATGTAATGAAAATTTTACTTTAACATTGTATTGTGCATCTTCCTTTTTTGAAATATACTTAAAAATGCCATTAATATTGCTTATTATGCTGTAAAATGTTTAATTAATTAAAACAACAGTTTAGTTTTGTATTTCTTTGTGTGTCAACAAGGAATTAAGTTTAATTCAATATAAAATTGTTTGCATTTTTCTTATATGGAGTTTATCACCTTATTATCTCAAAATCAATGTCTGATGTGTTTTTTTAAACAGTTTTCTTTTTCTGTGTCTGTTTTTATACATACAGGTAGTGCAATATTCCATACATCTCACTTCTATATCACCTTCTTATCTCACTTCTATATCTATTTCCCACCTAACCATTGATTCTTCCTATTGAGGATATTCTCCCTTGTAGTACAGTGTTACCTTACATAATGATCACATACATAAACCAAAAATTATTCAGCATAATGAACTTAATCTCACATTGAAAATTATGTGTGAGTTTCATTATGCTGTAATCATAGAGCTAAGTTTGTTTTTAATGGTGCATTAATACAAAAAATGCCATGTCTATAAAAAGAAATGAAAAGCAGAAAGGCACATACATAAACTTATTTCTTAAGAATTGTAAGCTGTACTTGGTACTTGATCAGGCACACACTTTGATTTGAAATACTTTTCTAAATTTACTGAATTTCTATATGTTAAAAGTAGTCCTAAAGCAGTTCTTACAAAAAAAGTAGCAGATTCTTTTGTTTCATATTCATATTCGACAAAATGGGCATTGTCATTGTTTGACTGTGGCCAGTTGGTTAAATCTTTTCTTATCCAGAAGAGGTCATTTCACTAAAATAAAATTCCTTATTCCTCAGAATATTTAAATTCTCTCTTCTAGTCACTGAAGTTACACAATTTATTGAGCAGTGATTCCAGCAGTGCCAATTAGTTTGTATTTTTTCAAATCTATTTTTAACAAAAACATTTTATTTTCAAGCATTGTCCATAATCCAGTGAAGAATAATTATGGAATTAGCCAGAAGTCAGATTTAGTATCTTTTAAATCTTTCAAGTTACTTCAAATGTCCTGAAATAATGTAACTCTTACAAGAGCTACAAGAAGTTATTTCATGTACTGTCACAACTACTGATTTTGAAGCTAGTAACAGGGTTGCCACGCTACCTGGAAAACCGGGAAAAGTCAGGGAATTCGAAAATTGACCAAAAAATTCAGGGAAAAGTCAGGGAATTTAAGTATTTTGTCAAAATCTGGAAAAGTCAGGGAATTTCATACATGATCCCGCCAAAAAAAAGCGATTTTTTTGCGCCGACGTCGGAGAGAGAGATAATTTTTTTGGCGATTGCCTATCACGTGAGTGTTGCTGGCATAGAGCCAATTTTCGCAGCTCCAATTTGATTGCCTTTTAGAAAGGCAAAGCAAGTTTCCCGCAACTTTTGGTTTCCAGTATCTGAGAATCGCATGTGCAGTGCATGAACTAAAGAAAGTACCTGTTCTCGTATAAAACAAAATGGGATTAATCTTAGTATACGGTACCATGGAGGTTAGAATCAAAGAATATGTATGTAAAGAAGGAAGGAAACCTCTCTGCAACAGACGTGGCTCCGTTCCATCATAGAGGGAAACAGCTGTGCATGCGTGATATATATCTGCCGCCAAAGCTGGAAACCGGGTGTCGAAGTTCGAAGGTCACGTTATCAAGAGTTCATTAAATGAATATCCTTTAAAATTTCTTTAACTACTTGCGCTAAAAGACGTGCCACGCACGTCGAGATATTTTTGTCCCAAACTGCGAGCGACGTGAACACCCACGTCGATAAGCATTTATCGCAAAAATGAAAATAACATGGTGCACACGTCGCCTAACAACGAGATTGTTTATTTTTCGCGAGTTACAGCTCTGGATTGCATCTCGCAGATGCGGAAGCGGCGTAAATGAGACACTTTACCACTTGCTATATTGTAGCGCACGGCACCGCAACCGTGAAGTTTAGTCTTAGCGCAAGTAGTTAAACTCTAAATTAAAAGAAAATATTTTTTGGTGCAAGTAAATTAATTCATAGGTTAGTAATTTTCAGGGGGGGGGGAAACTACGAAAATCCGTTTTTAAAATTATTGCGAAAAATCCAAGAAGAAACGGATTTTTCGCAATAATTTAAAAGCGGATTTTCGTAGCTTTCTTTTTGTCAAAGAACGTTTCTTCTTAACACGTTTCTCAATTTCCGGTACACATCGCGGGGAGGGAAATTCTGGCCGCCAGGTTCCGTCGCCAAATCCCTTGGCAAATTTTCCCTCCGCATTCTAGCGGCGTAATAGCATTTTACTTGTATGGAAAATTTTCTTCTTTACATAGACCAAAAAATTAGAGATTCTTTGCATAGACTTTTTTGGTTAAAATAATCTCTATGTATGGATTTGGCGACATGATGATGCGCAGTAAACGGGTCATTTTGGTCTTGGCGACAATTTTCAAAATCGTGCCAAAGCCTTACCGTATACTACAATTTTACCGCAAAATCTTTTAAAACTTTTCTTTTTAATAAATACCTTGCCATTTTGCAGTAAAATAAAAAATAGTAATCTGTCATCCAGGCTAACCATGTAATATAACTATATTCGCTAAAATATCGTTGATTATTCTAATTCAATTTTTAAGTAATTCTTTATTTTATGTTATTCGTATAATTTAATGATGCTTCTTCCCTCTAAATTTATTAATTATTAGTAAATAATATTTCTAAATTTCAGGAAATTTTCTCTGGCATAATCTGAAATTAATTCTAGCAGTATGATGCACATACCATCACGAAATTTAATGCACATATTTTTTCTTATGTATGCTGCGAACTAAAATAAAATACCTCAATTTATTAAAATAGATTCTTTGTTTCGTTTTAGCTGCAGAATGTCTGCAAAAAGCCTTATTTATTCAGATTGGGAAGATTCAATCTCAATCTCAATGGAGGAAAAAAGAACTATTATTAATTATATTTGTGTTTTCAAGGATTAAGGTGCTTTTAAGAACATACCTCACACAATTAAATTTACCTAAAATCTAACCTAACTATTAGCATTGCGTTGTGATTTATAAGGACCGGATAGCCTCGTGTTGACTGGTGATGATCATGAGTAATAATTAAATAAAACATACATTTGTATCCATGTATATATGTTAAATTTTATTAAGTTTCTTAAGTGGAAAAAGTAAACAAAATTATCAAACAAAGTACCAAAATAATTAAGAATAAATGTCCTCTGGGATTTATTGAATAATTAAGTGAATTTGCTACACAATACAAGTAATACCATAATTTACCTCTTAGCGTAGCCAACGTACATTACGCGGATAGACTGGAATTTTCTTGAAACGCGCCTGGAAAACCTGGAAAAGTCAGGGAATTTCATTCTCCTGTTTGAGTGGCAACCCTGTAGTAAAATTTAAAATTATTTTTTATATGAATCACTAACATAAATAAACCAAACAGTTTCACAGGCTCTTGAACTTGTATCTAGAAAATTATGAATTGGCTAATTAGTTAATTTGTCTATTTTTTTAGTGAAAATGTCTGCTTTGGTAGTGTAATTATTCAAAAAGTATAATTTCAAAAACAAAAGATGCATGTCTACTGCAACTTTCAAGAACTTTTTGTAAAAGCAGAAATTGGATTCATTTCACATTCTTTAAAGAATATATTTAATTAATTAGAAGGTTCTGGTCCCAGCCAAGAATGGTGCCTAATAAACTGAGATGAACAGTGACTAGACTGATTTATTCAATGACAAAATTTGAAGAAAAATGACTTTATTTGAGCGAGTTTTGCAAGATGGTCAAGGGGAGCTGAGTTCTTTTTCTTCAGGTTTCTAGAACAACTTAGATGAAATTGAACTGAAAAACTGTGAGACTTTGTACATGCATAACATATATAAATATTTTTATAACTAATAAATTAGTAAATTCTTAAAATTTCCAACACTGATGGTGTTATAATATTTTATGAAATTTTTCTTGATGTTTTGTAACTTTGAATCAGTCACAGGAACAGGTTAAAAGATCCCCTTAGTAACCAATGGGAAGCAGGATCATGCCTAACAAAACAGATGACATTCATCACATGAGAAACTACCATATTATAATTAGGCATAAATTTTCATCTTTCTCCAACCACCCCTTGGGTACCGGTTTCGAGAACTCTTTCATGTTCTTGTCAATCTGGGTATACAAATACTAGTGTTAAATTAACTGTTATCAAAATGAATAATGTGAAATTCATTTATAACTTAAATTGGTGCAGAACAGTTATTCTTGCTGCAATTAAACCTGCTGAAGTTCCTGTTTTTTTTTTTTTTTTTTTTTTTTTTTTTTTTTTTTTTAAGTAAGATGAAATTTTAAATGAAAGTAAGATGTAATGCCACTATTTGTAAATTGAGCAGGCATCAGACTTGAAGACAGTCTGTGTGTTTAAGTTATGAGATTAGAAGGGTTTATAAAATTAACAACTGAGTTGAATTTCTGAGATATTTTTCTTATGTATCATCCAATCATAATCTATCATCATAAAAAACTGGGCAAGCTGGAATTGAAGTGTTGGAGATATTCAGATATATATTGAAATCATATAATCGTGTATACTTTTTCAATATTTTAATACTTGAATTCTTGTTATTCCATGTTAAGTGAATGTCTTTGTCTGTATATTGTTATAAAAAATTAAATCATTTTTGTACTTGAATTTATTTGTATTTTTTACTGTAAAATTTACTGAATAAGTAAAAAATTAGATATTTTTAGCATGTAAAAATATGCAGGTTTTACTGCTTTTAAAGTGTAATAGTTAAATGAGTTTTATTTTTTACTTAAGCATGTTAGGCATTTCAGTTATTGATATAAATATACATAATTTCACCGATTTTCTTAATTTTTATTGTCTATGATTTTTGTGTGGGAGATGTAAATTATTTAAGTTTGTACTATTTTATATTATACCTATTTGTGAAATTTTGATATATACTGGAGGGGGAAATGGTAGATTACTTAAGTATCTTGTTTTCAAATTTTTCTCTCATGCTGAAGTTTATATTTTGCATGAAAGGGCTATGGTGGAGGACTTATGACTCCTTATCCTGGAGCAAATACACCTGGTGGTATAATGACTCCTGGCTGGGCAACTTCCAGTGTTGATTTGGATTTGCGAAAGATTGGGCAAGCTAGAAATGCTTTAATGGATATAAAGCTTAATCAAGTAGGTATTTGATGTTTTAAAGCTAAACATCTAATATGCTTAATAATTTAATATTTAAAACTTTCCATCTTTTGTTATTCTTTTTTAATACTTTTTACTGCTTTATGATAAAAAAGTAAATATGGATGGAAATATATCATTGATTGTCTGCAGTGTTTTTTTTAATGTGTTCCAAACCATTGTTTATTATAGAAATGATAATCTTATGTTTATTTTTGGTATAAGCGAAAATGCTAACAATTGTAGTTTAATTGTCATTAACCTATGCTGCTAATTTTCTGTGGCACCTTCATATTATCTTGTTGACCATGAAAGTTGGCAGTGATATCACCACAGTTGTGGCAGTTGTTCCTGTGGAATTCTGAGCCACTCATCTATCTCCAACTCTTACAATAAATTTGTCAATCTCTCCACACAGTTCCCTAAACTGCCACTTCTGAAGTATTTGATCTACTTTTATACTTAATATTTTTGGCTTAATATTTTTGCCTTTTTGGATTACTTAATATTTTTGGCTTCGTAAAAAGGTTTTGTTGATTTTGGCTATTTTGTTAGGTGCTCTGATTTTACCAAAAGCTCTGTTTATAATATTATGAGTACAAACTTCCTGCAGGTGATAGTTTTCTCCATTAAACAGATGTTGATTCTCTCGACCAACTATAAATGAACCAGAGTGCAGTCACATCTTCAGCCCTTGAACTCATTTTTTTCTCAAAATGAAGCAAAAAAATGCAGCAATATCTTTGTGCATTAAAAAAAAAGTGGCTTATCAAGAATTAATTGGTATTTCATCAACCAAAAGCACAGATACTATGAGTATGTCATGACATCACACTAATCCATAATTGGCATTAAATCATACTGCTTAAGCACAGTTTCATGCTTGATGAGGATAATAACATAAATACCATTTTTATTTATTTGGTCAAATTTGAGATTAACAAGTACAAATTTAATAAATTTCTGAGTTAGAAAATTTTCAAAAGATTCTAATTTTTCCAGTTTTTTAATTTCTTATAGAATTTTCTTAAACTAATTGAATTTATTGAGTGGTTAATATTTTTGCTGCTATTTAATATTTTTATGTGTACTTCATTTTTGTTATCAAAGTTTCCTTGTTGCTTTTAAAAATTAAAGTGTAAAACTATTGTTAGCATACATGTTAATTGTTGTAGTTATTTTTCATTTTGATAACTTCTGTATTTCTTGTTCTTTATGTATGCATTTTATATTTAGGTATCTGATTCTGTTAGTGGCCAAACTGTTATTGATCCTAAAGGTTATCTTACAGATTTGCAGTCAATGATTCCTATGCAGGGTTCTGATATTAGGTATGAAGAATGTTTAACTAGCATAGATATGCATCTATGTATGCTTGTAATGTACTTCTTTTCTTTTCCCTCCTATGATTGCAGGGTAGGTAAGGTTCACAGCGAAGACACTGTTGTTGTGTCGCAAATTTTAATTGTGCTATTGGTATTTAATTAATTCCTATTAAGGCTTTTATTTAACTGAAATTGTTTGTGACTAGTGAATATTTATTTTTAGCACTTAAAGTCTTTTTACATTTATTTTTTGATGCTTAGACTTTTCTCACGTAACAAGGAGCAGTTCCCCCCCCCCCAACATCCGGGGAATAGTGTGCATTGAATTACTTGGTCAGTGTTCCTCAAACTCATTCTTTTGGCAGGTTTTTGAATAGCATTTGCAATGAGAAAGAGCTGTTAAAAGTATCCGTTGTTGTGGGAGATTTTGCTTACTGGATGTGAAAAGAAAGAAATAATTGCATCTTTTGCTTTGGATAAATGGATTTTTCGAATAGAGAGGCATCTGTAAATTCTTTCTGGCGGCAATTAAAAGGGCAGCATTACAAGTGACTTGTCTTTGTGGCATCATTTCTGTTTCTATTCATTGGGGGGACAGGGTTCGTAGTGGTCCTTATAAGTGCTTATAAGTCCTTATATTTGAAAATAAAATATAAAGGCCCTTATAGGTGCTTACTTTTAATTTAAAGCCCTTATTTTTTGTTTTCAGTGCTTATTTTTTGCTTTTAGTGCATTTTTTTTTTTTAAGAACGCGCTATTTTTCCTGATACCAAAGCCGAAACTAAATAAACAACTTTTCTTCCTAATATGGAATGTCAGATGGTGAATCATACTCCCGGAAATAGCTTTTCCCCTTTCTCTGCATTAACATAACCTTTGGTGTGCATGAAGAGTACAGACAGTGCCCGTCGTTCTATTGGTCAAAGAAATGCGAAAGTAATAAATAAAGGGAAAGTAATCGAATAGTCAAAATAATTTTGTTTTTTTTTTTGGCCAATACATTATACAGTACGAAGATTGGGAGGTTCTCCCCTTTCTCCGCAAAATCTCGAATATGAAACTGTTACAGTTCGCTGCAAAACAAGCAACGGACTTTTTTTTTTTTTTTTTTGTCACTTTCCAATCTGGATTGAATAGGACTAAAAGTTCTGCGGTCTACCAAACCAAGCGAAGAATGATTCTATTCTGAAAATTTAACGCCATCTGTTGAAAATTAGAATGAAAAACACCCCAGTTATTTAGTTCTTTATTCTCCCAATACCGGCAGCTGTTGATTTTGACTGCGTAATATCACGTAGGGAAGAATTACGGCGCACGTATTGCGCAATAAGGCTTGGAATATTTTGCAGAGATAATTAATTTTGATGTTTTGTCCGAGATTTGTTTATGAACACTTAAAAGAGTTTTACTGTGCTTGATAAGCAGAATATTTTTCAGTTCCATTGGTTTATTTTTATATGATGCACATATCGAAATGTCAAAAGCATTTATTTAGCGGAAAAATTTAAAGAGCGGCTACAGTCTACCCTCCCCTCGCTCCTATTTTTCAAGTTACGCTCGAAGTCCGAATATTCGCCAATTTCCAAGTATGCGGGTTAGTTAAGATTTTACTGTTAAAGGATGACTGCATGAAGCAAATTTCTGTCTTCTGATTCAGAAATGTTCCTCTTTTTTACTTAAATTACTTTGCTTGCAATATCTGTGAAGAGAAAACTGATATACAATGAAAAATTTAGAAAATGGTCAGAATTTAGATTTAATTATTTAAATATCAATATGAGTGCAAAAATAAAATTGTATTTATTATTAGGTTCCAAGTGAATACAATAAATATGCCTTATTATTATTTATTTTCTCTATTTTGAACCGAAATTTCATCATTAAATCTTGTACTATAGTTTAGTTCTGCATAGTTTTTTTTCCTCTCATTGTAAACTAGTTCTGTAAATTGAACTATTATTTAAAATTTAAAAAAGAAAAAAAAAAAAAAAAAAAAGTAATTGTTTTCCATGGTTGAGGTAATGCTTATTCTTTCTTAATAAATGCTGCATTTCTCATATTTTTAAATTACAAGTCTAATTTTTAAGGTTATGCAGTTGTGTATAATGTAATTAGACAGGTGCTTATTTTTTTCTTAAAATGTTCTTGAAAAGTGCTTATAGGTGCTTATTTTTTTAACTAAAATGTGGCTATGAACCCTGGGGGACTGAAAATAAAAATAAAGATGGAGTAGGAAATTCATCTGGTGGTCAAACTTAATTTTATGTTGAATTTTCAGCCTGTAGAATTTGTGAGCGGAGAAACCAAGTTTTCTTCGAGGCTTGAGTGGGAGCTCAAAATAATTTTTTATTTTGGTCTGAAAATTTCTAGACTAAGGTAGTGGGGCCAGCTTGTCTTACTGTAGGCTTGCCTGCGTAAGCAGCATGGGGTCCGCATTTTCCTGGCCGATGCATTCCATAGTTGATGGCTGCTTTTCAAAGCCAATGTCCGAGTCATAGGATAAAGAAATTGTATTTGAAAAATCGTGTTGAATTCTGAGAAATTATCTCTCAACTCCCAGCTCCTGAAGATTTCATTCTTTTGATGCATTATGCAGCTCTGTATGAGAAATATGACATCTGAACTCGTGTGAGCAGCGTTTTCCTGTCAACTACTTCAAAACTATTGATATTCCAAGCTTCTTTCCTTACGTTTTCTGCAAGATGTCATTTTTCTTGAACTGGTATTTTGTGTGGATTGATGAAGGACAAATTTCAAGAACTTGATAACTTAATCCTCTGCAGAATTTGCAGTTAATTAGAGACAGAGAGAACACTGAATCTTAACCGATCCTTGCAATTGATAGTTTAAAGAAATCCAACTGTCAAAATTGTAAAAACACCCTTGTATTTAGCGTAAGTATAATGAAACACTCAATTGATTTCGAGGGCAGCTAAAGGTCCCTCCTCATCAGGAGAAAGAAATACCAAGAAAGAAGAAAATAAAGGAGAAAAAGTCTCAGAAACAAGTTCTTTCTCCTGATGAGGAGGGACCTTTAGCTGCCCTCGAAATCAATTGAGTGTTTCATTATACTTACGCTAAATACAAGGGTGTTTTTACGATTTTGATTGTCACATTAGCGTGTTTCTCTTCTAGTCTAAATCCAACTGTGTATCATTTTTGCTTCCTTGTACGAAGTAAAAAGGAAGTATTGTAATCGTGCAAAATTATGGGTATCGTATTTCAATTATAAAGGACTCTTTTTCCCCCCAAAATTATAAAACTGATTTAAAATGGATTCAAAGATATTTTTTCGTGGCGTCTATACATACGTACGTACGTATATCTTGTATAACTCAGTTAGTAGCCTCAGAAAATTGAAATTTTATATATAGGACTGCTATAACATGTAGATCTGCACCTCCTATTTTAGGTGCAATCAGCCACGCCAAAACGATATAAATGTATATCAACTCTGTTACTCAGCTCAGTGAGCTCAGTTTCTTTATTCTTATGTGTTTGTAAATAGTGCATTTTTTGCTTTAAAAATTATTGAATTATAGTGTTCTTATATTCGAGTTAAGCTTTTATGCCTTTAGTTAACCTGCATATTATAATTGTAGAATTATCAACAATTTAAAAGTTTTTAAGTGTAAGCGGGTTTTTTTTTTTTTTTTTGCCATAGCTGCCATATTTGTTTACATTTGAAACTTTGCAGAATAGTGAATTTGTTGCCAATCTAAAGAAACTAAGCTTTGCAGCAACAAAGTAACATCTTCTTTTAATATTGTGAATTAAATTATGCTTAATTCATTCTGGAATTATCATTTAAGTTATTAAATTTTCTCATATATCGACTCAACATCCACAAGAAATTAAGTTAGTTTCTATGGCTTAAGTGTCTTTTTGCCAAGTGAGATTAAAAGTAAACTTTCCGTTTTATGCACTGAAAAATCTGTCTTCTTGCCCGCTAGGATAGCGCATGAGTAGTACTGCAAGGCCAGCACATGCGTATTAGGTAACCAGCGCTGAATCGTCTGTGAAAACTGTTTATTTTTTATTTGTTTAGTTTCTTTTATACATCGTTGTAGATTTATTACAATATTTGAATAGACCATATGGCAATGATTAGATATTTCTTCAGATTTTTTTTTTTTTTTTTTTTTTTGGCATTTTGAGTTTTAAAATAAATGAGGTGTATCACTGTTAAGTCAACCTACCAACAGAGTATCGCTATGGTAAATAAAATACAGTGAATTTTAAAAAGCACGTTTATTCTATTGTGGTTTATGTGCTATCGACAAAGTAGATTTAATTCAATTCAACAAGTTAAAATGAATTGCAGGAAAAAATATGTATAATTTAATGTTCTGTACAAGTGTCATGTGGTATACACATCATATTTTTTTTATATAAATATACATATATATGTACACCATTGTTGTTATTTTTAAGGGGGGGTAATTTTATTTCAGTTTAATTGATAGAAATGGAATTTTAAATTTGAATTAAGAGAAAATTGATTTTGCTTAATTGACTTTAAAATTAATGTCTATAAAAATGTGTAAATTATAATTTTTTTTGCCTTAATTGTTAATGATTTAAATGATTTGCTACTGTTTAAGCTAAGTATTGGAATGCTGTTGACCACAATTGAATATGTGAAATTTTAAAGGTGGTTATTATCCATATGTAATATAATTAAAGAAAGAAAATCAAATATTTAATTACATAATGGTGGAAATACTTTACAGTGATTAAAGTAATCTTATATTAAGTGGGTTATGCAATTTTGATAAATGATAGGATTTGATGTGGAATATTATTTAACTGTTGCATGTAAGGCTAATTTGGCCAGCTATCTTAATTTATGATATTCTAGAAAGTAATAAATATGTTTAATGATCAAATTTTGTGTGTGTTATTTTGTTATTTATTTGATGGTCTGTCCAGCCACTCCATTTGTTTGAGTCATAAAGCTTTGAAGAAACATGGAGGGTAGTTTATTTAAGGTATTGTTAATTATT